AACGGCTCTGCCGCCATCGTGAGGAGGCACTCCCCGCGCTCCCCCTCTTACTCTAGTGGAACGAGGGGAGGGGTTTGTCATGGCGCGGTGGGGTGCCTTATACGTGGTAGGGGTTTACGCCCCACCAAAGCGGCCTCACCCCGAATTTCGTGAACAATTGCGGGCAATGGGGGCGGGCATTCGCCGATGCCTCCCCCATCCCGTGTTGGTGGCCGGGGACTTCAACGCCTGGGCTCAGGTGTGGGGTTCCCGGTTCACCAACATTAGGGGTGAGGCCGTGCTGACTTGGGCGGCGGGTCTCGGCCTCCTGTTACAAAACAGGGGGTCGACTAGCACCTGTATCCGCCCCCGGGGCGAGTCCATTGTCGACCTGACGTGGGCCTCCCCTCGGACAGCGGACTTGGTGAGGACCTGGGAGGTGGCGGATCGAGAGACCCTCTCGGACCATCTCTGTATAAAGATGGTCTTGACCGCCACACCCCAGGAGGTGCTGGCCCGCCGTCTTCGTCAAAGGGGCGAAAAACCCCCCAGAAAGTGGGCGCTGGCTCAACTGGACCAGGACAGGCTGGTGGCGGCGGCCTTGGTGGAGGCGTGGTCGGATCCCCCCGACCTCGTCGACGCCGGGGCCGAAGCCGAGGAGATCGGGGACATGGCTGGGCGCATGTGCGACATGGCCATGCCCCGATCGAAGCCCGCCCCCGTCAGGCCATGTATTGGTGGAATGAGGAGATTGCGGAACTGCGAAGGCGCGCAAACGCCGCTAGACGCGATCTCCTCAGGGCCCGACGGCGGGCGGGCGGGGAGGACGAGAGCACTGCCGAAACACGCGAGGAGTACCTGGCCGCGAGGTGCTCCCTGCGGACAGCCATCGGCGGGGCCAAGGCCTGGGAGGAGCTACTCGCAGAGCTCGACCGGGATCCTTGGGGGCGACCGTACCATTTGGTTCTCAACAGATTGAGACCTGCGGCGCCCCCAATCTCGGAGACGCTAGACCCCGGGTTCCTCGGCCAGGTGGTGGGGAGTCTTTTTCCCGTAAGAGACACTCACATCCTCTCTAGGGGGGACCCCGCCGACTGGACCGAGGACCTGGGGATCACAGAGAGGGAGCTATCCGAGGCGTCCAAAAGGCTGGGGGCTGCTGGTAAAGCCCCCGGCCCGGACGGGGTTCCCGGCCGAGTATGGGCTTTGGCTTTTGGCGTGGTGGGTGCCCGTCTAAAGAGATTGTACAACGCATGCCTCAGGACGGGCACCTTCCCCTCCTTGTGGAAGACAGCGAACGTCGTGCTTCTTCGCAAGGAGGGAAAACCGGCGGAGCAACCTTCGGCTTACAGGCCGATTTGCCTGTTGGACGAGGTTGGCAAACTGTTCGAGAGAATTATTGCCGGCCGAATCGTCCAGTACCTGTCGCGGGATAGTCCCAATCTATCGGAGGACCAGTTTGGGTTCCGAGAGGCCCGATCCACAACAGATGCCATTGTGCATCTGCGGGCCCTCTTGGACCAAATTGTAGGGGAGGGGGATGTGGCGTTGGCGGTGTCGCTGGACATAGTCAACGCCTTCAACTCCCTCCCCTGGGAATGTGTGGGGGAGGCCATGGAGTTCCATGGTCTTCCTCCATACATAAGGGAGGTCCTTTGGGACTACTTCCGCGACAGGACGCTCCAGTATAAAGACCAACTGGAGCGGGTAAGCAGAGCTGCCAGTTTTCCCCGGAGAGCTCCACACGCACACAA